TTAATAATATAAATTTAAAAATTATTCAAATATTAAACAATTGTATTTATTTTTTATTATTATTTATACAGAAAAGATAAATTAACAAAACTGGAGTCAAACTTTGAAAAACTATAAAATCTAGCCTAGAAGAGTACAGGAAATTCTGGAGTAATTTAATTGCTCGCTCAGCTATGCAGACAGTTATAGTCAGTGATATAAACGCAACAATGAAAGACGGAAAATGTTAATTGAAAACTTAAAAATAAATATTATTAATGTTAAGGATCTTTGGTATAATTTACTAACAAAATATATAAAATAATAATAATAATATCGAAACATCTGTAGTCAGAGGTTCACTTCGACATTATTTATTTAATATAATTGTAAGTTTATAGCTCAACGTGTTCTTTAGTGCCAAGAATCTATCAAGCTGAATTTTCTAGCAGAAAATTCAGTCACGCGCATATCGGATATCTGAACAGTCTTGTTAAGCTGCTTGCCGGTCTGTATTGCTGTCAAACCTATCAAGCAGAGTTTTTCGCAAATTGCTTTCGGTTCACTCACAGACGAGACTCACACAAATGTCTCACATGAATTTCAATTTGACTAACCCATATTTACGAATATTTCTCAGCTGAAGCCAGATGAATTTTGAGCGAAAATTGTAAACTCTTCATTGCACTAAACGAATTTCCTCAGTTTATTGGTCTTGGAATGCAATGAGTGCACATGTTTGTTTAGCATTGATTTTTAGACTCCAATCAGCTGAGCTCTTTTGAAAATTGAACATGCTTTTTATTCTGGCATTGTGCTACAATTTGAATTGCTTTTCAATTGATTATCTCTTCAGAATGTCAAAAAGTTGAATTGCGATTTGCTCGGAGTATCAAAGTACATATAAAATCTGTTTTGCTTAGCTCATTTTCTGATTAACTTATGATATACAGCGAATGTCAGTGAGACCACAATACAATTCCCACTCACTAAGCAATACAGATATCTAACTCACAAAAAGATTTTGTGATCAACAGACACTCGATCAGGATAAACTCTTTCATGCAAATATTTGTACATGCATTTGCCAAGGGCCCTGTGTGAAGCAGCTGTTATATAAGGGCCATGTCATCGAGTATCAACAACAATATTGCTAAGCTGACAAGCAACGCAAATTACACATTTGGCTCCACCGATAAGCGTAAATCACGCAAATGACAAGTGGCAATAACATCGACCCACCATAAAATGAAATCCGTACACAAGAATAAAAAAAATGAAACGAAATCAGAACAGCAAAAAAATAAAATAAATAAGAAAAGCAAAAATCCAAACTCTCAACACTTGGCCAACGCACATAAATTGCATTTGGCCGCTGGCGAGGTAAACAGCCGCAAATGCCACAAAATGAGAGAAGAATCTCGTCGGGGGGAGAGAAAATAAGCCAAAACTCAACAATAATCGAAAAATTTTATCCACACTCCCATAAACACTTTGTGTGGTTGTGTGCGAGTGTGTGTGTGTGTGTCTGTGTGTGTGTGTGTGGGTAAATCAAAGAAACAAATAAAATGGGCAAATACAAGCAGAAAATCCATAGTAGCAGATGGGAGGCTTGGGGTGAAATGAGAGAACGTTTTGAACAGCTCGAATTAAGTTAAGCACTTTTATTTATTATTAAAAAAGTTTCAAGCTGCACGCTGTGTTGGCTGGGGTAGAGAAATCAGCAAAATCTGCGCATAATGCTAAGAAAATTCCAAATTTATCGTATCACTTAGATGGAGTGTCATATGGGAGAGATGGAGTGCCATACAGAGCCCCTCGCCCAGCATCGAAAGGGGTTAAAATGCGCATTATGAACACATCGCCATCTGTGGGACTGTCTCTGTGTCTGCGACTGTATGAATGTACATATGTATGTATGCGTGTGTATGTGTTTGTGTGCATTCATAATATAACTGTTGATTATTGCGCCAACACGCACTCAGTGTAAGTGAAACAGCAGCAGCAGCAGCAACGGCATCACCCAAAGAGCTTTTGAGCTCGCCGCTCGGCACACAGCGCGTATGCGCAATATTATTAGATATTGAAAGCAGCCATCGATGGCAGCGCTGTCGATGCCCGCTGCCAAGAGCAATTGAAGGCAACAGCAATACCAACATATGAATTTTTTCTCTCAAGAGCATCTCTGTCACAGCTTCAGCACCCAGCACAAACACGAATGCTTGAAGAGAGAATGACTTGCGCAAGCAATACCCTGCAGAGCTCTATCAAGTCTATAACATGCCCTAGAGGATGCTAACTATAGACGTATGATTTTCTATTTTCCAAGTGGAGTCGAGTATGAATTTAGTTTCGAAAAGCCATATCAGTCAGAGCTATCAATTTTCTTCAGCATTTCATGATTACAGGGCACAAAGAGCAAATGAAGCCCAGGCTTATCTTATCAGCAAAGTTGGGTGCTGGTCCCAAGT